GTTAACAGCAGCTGATTTATTACTCATTACACATGGCAAAAGAGCTGTCAAATGTGTTTTACAGGTGTATCTTGTAGGGCTGTACCCGAATATTAGACTATTCGATTGTTCGTTCGTTGGCCAACTATTCGGGTTTCAATTTCATTATTCGGATATTCGTTTTTTTATTTTATTTTTTCTAAATGTATGCTATTAATAAAGGCAAATTGCCATATTCTTATACTATATTTATACTTTTGAATTGCACTGTTAAAATGCGGAAATATATACAATCTCAGCCTGTGCTCCTGACATCGTGTTCACTCACAGTCACGAACGCAAACGGCACGCTTCACCTCGCTTCACCTCGTTTCACCCACAAAATGCCGAAGACTTCAGCTGTGTGGGACCATTTTAAATTGGACGACGGTAAGAATATGTGCCAAATATGCAATAAGAAACTGGCCTACCACGGTGGCACAACAACTCTGAAAAGTCACCTGGATGCTGTAAGTAGTAGCCTAGCTTAGTTAGCTGTTGTCAAGTTGCCATGATGAAGCTGCTTTATCCGCCGTTTAAACAGTAACGTTACACATTAAAAAAAAACGTGCACTTACTTTGCTTGGAAAATAGTTGCAAGCAAGCAACCAAAATGTTTTTTTATATTAGTTTTTTTTATTTTATCCGAATAGTGAAAATGATAGGAGTAATGTGGGAACATCTGGGGCTAAGGCAATTATTGGCATAAAGTTGAGTAGCTGAGCCTAATAATAACTTGTGTCCATAGGTGCATCCCCACGCATCCCAGCCATCAACATCCTCAACAATACAGCAGACCCTACAGTTACCCTACAGAGGACACATTTAGTTTTAATGTTTGCGAGTACTGAGACAATAAATAAATATAAATCGTAATAGTATGCTCTTTCTGCGCTTCTGCTTAACAGCGTGTTGTCAGGTGTCTCGGATTCGGAGCGTGTTATGAAACCTTTTTGAAAAAACTGTTATAAAAAAAAAATACAAATCTCTCCGCACCGAATATTCGCTGCTGATTACTACCGAATATCCGGAGCCCGAAAAATGGTATTCGGGACAGCCCTAGTCTGTGTGTGTGTGCGCGCGCGTGTGTGTGTGTGTCCACTTACAGAGATGATGACAGGGGAGATGAATCTCCAGCAGACTTTAAAGAAGAGAGGAGGAGGGAAGCCCAGCATCATCTCAACGTCTTTGAAGTATTGCTTATGGCCTGCGAATGAAACAAAAGTCATCCAGTAAGGTCAAAGTGTGATTGATCATTTTATTGATTGCGGTTATTAGTGTTTTTTTTTTTTACAATGTTGCCACACTATGAAGAAAAAATAAATCATTTACTTGGAGCTTAACAGTTTGAACACCGTTGTTTGCACCCAAGTGTTTTCCCCTGGATGTGCGCACACTTGCTCTTCTTCTGACATTGACTCTACTATTGTTTTATTTATGGAATCATTTTGACAGAGATAGGATAATTCCACCACCAAACCAGAAATAACACCCAAATTGCAAAGCACATAGTCAATATTTTTCTTAAAGAACAGTTTTTATTGTCACAGAGTTTCTTTGACGTATATAGTACAAAAAAAAAGTATTCCTCCTCACCGTAAACATACATGACGCAGACGCACATGATGCAGGAGATGATGACAAGAGAGAAACTAGCAGCGTAGTTGTCCATCAGTAGCAACCAATAGATTCCTGCCTGTACACAGAAAAAAAAGAGATTGAATGAAGACCCCATGAGAGAAAACATGCTGCGATTAAAGAGCGTGTTTGGAACGTACCCGTGTTGTGAGTGGCACTCCAAGTAAGAATCCAATGACGGCCACCGACAGTGTGACGACGGTCTTGTTCCTGATGATCCAGTCTGTTCCGATCTCATCGACGACGGCCGTCACCAGAGTCTCCAACAGACAGAACTGCAAGACAAGGGACGAAGGGTACATTTAATTTAAACATTTGAGAAACAAGTAAGTACGTTTTTTTACTTGATTAGGATACCAAAAATCTTTATAGATCATTTGAGACGTTTTTTCCATGTTTAACAGTTACTAAATCATTTAGTGTAAAAAGGTCGGAATGTTATGAGAGAAAAAGTTCATGTTTAGCATGACATTTCTCCCATATTTAACATTTCTATAAACATGTTCAATGAAGTGCTTTACTTAATTATTACCTGTGAGCTGTGTCAAAGAGGTTCATCTAAAATATAAGGTAATTTAGGAAAAATATATCATCATCTTTTTAAATAGGGTTGTATGAGGTACAGGTACCTACAGGAGATTGTGGTTGGAAAAAGATAAATGTTAATGCTTTAGTGGAACATTTGACAAATTCTCCATCAGGGATTGGTTGGTTTTTAAGACGATTTTAATCTAATTTAGTTTAATTTACATTGGGCAATTCAAACATTTTTACATATCACCTAATACTAGTATGCTACCAGTTTCACAAATATGACTAAGGAGCTGGAGAGATGAATAGGCAGCAACCACTAGGGGGCCCCGTGGCAACGCTAGGCTCATTAGCTGCTTAGTATTGTCCGGGATGCCAGTCATCAGAGGTTTGGTTGAAGTCTTTTTTGCTTTGGAAGATTTTTAGTAAAATGACCCAAAGTGGCCGCTATGATAAGAGCTGTTCAAAATCTCTAGATGATAGGAAAGGAGCTTTAATGCTTCCCTTTAAGAAAAGTGAGGAGATAATGTTGTCCCATTTGACATCTTTTGCCATATCTTGCTAAAATGCTTATATGTTTAAAACTTTATAACAATATGTTAAACCAAAAGGCAAACTATTAATGGAACACCACTTACTGTTGAAATTGTAAAAAAGTTATCCAATCACGTCAACATTTCAGCATTGTTTGTTGCCCTTTTCTCTTAAAATCATATGGGAAATACTGAACAGTTCTCGAGCCTCACCTGAGTCCCCAGTCCCAGAAGGATGAGCATGAAAAAGAAGAGCAGTGACCAGAGAGGGGAGATGGGGAGCAGAGTGAGGGCTTCTGGGTAAGCAACAAAGGCCAGGCCCGGGCCGTGGTCTGCCACCTCGGACACAGGGACGTTCAGGTTGTGTGCCATGAAGCCCAGGATGGAGAAAATGACAAAGCCGGCATACACGCTGGTCGCACAGTTAGTAATGCTGATGATGATGCTGTCTCTGTATGGAGAACATAGAAGAAGAAACATGTTTGGGTTTAATTTAACTGCTGGATACCAGAATTGCATAAATTAGCGACTTTGACAGCTGTATATCCAGCATTGTTGAAATGTAAACTTGACCTGTTCAGGTAGATGAACGAAAAAAGGGGAAAATCGCTAAAAATGCACCAATTACATTACATTATTACATTACATGTCATTTGTTAGATGCTTTTATCCAAAGCGACTTACATACATTCAGTACTGTGGACAATCCCCACAGGAACAATTTGGGCTGAAGTGTCTTACCCAGGGACACAACGACATGCTGACTGCAGTGGAACTCAAACTTGCTACCCCCTGATTCGAAGTCTGATTCGAAGTCCAGCACTCTATCCACTGAGCCACAGCCGCCCCACATTTTTTATTTGAATTAAATATGTTTTCTACAGCGACCTACAAATAAGGTAAAATCCAAAGAAGAAGAAAAAGCTTTCGAGAATAAGTGCGGTTCTATTTTACACCTGACACAAGTGCAAAAAGCTTTTTTATTCTCAAGGTAAAGGCTGACCCAGCAGCACCTTGCAAATCCATCAAATGTTCTTTAAAATGTGGACAAAACTATTTAAGGTTGGCAAAGTGCACAGGAGTTTCTGCAATGTTTGAATCGGGACAGAGAAAATTTGAAAAAAGTTAATTGCAAGTCGGGGGAAAAAATTGCTCTCTGAAGTGCAAGGGAATATGTAATACAATAAGAAGAGAACATGCTCATTGCTGTAGGTACGTTGGTCCATGTTTTAATTTGTATTGTGATTAAATTAATAGCAAAGCAGAAAAAAGCCAAGTTTTATTAAAGATGTCTTAATATCAAGATCATTTTTGATTTAAATGAAGACACAATTGTGTAAAGATCAGGGCTGTTGACATGGTGATTTTGACCCCAACTTCCTCTGTAATTCCAGCGCACAATTTCCCTATAAATGGAATGGCAGTGAAATTGCATAGAGATCAGAGAAATTGCGACAAGCTACATGTATTACACTTATAGAGTGCCACAGTGACGCGTCCTAAAACCCGGAAGTAAGTTAGCATTTTAGCACTTCCGGTTCCTTCGCCAAAAAGCAATGCAATTTCTCCATAGGATTTTGGAAAATAGCTGGAAATAAGGTCTGTGGTTAACACAAATTGAAGAGACTGATCACGTTTTGTTCTACGACATTAAATACATCAGCAGTGACCCCACTGGGGATGTTTGAAGAGTTGACATGTCTGAAAAACGATGGTTGTTACCAAGCGGCTGAATAGGACTACAGAAGTTGTCGCGGACGTTTTACGTCATTACGCCGAACACATAAACACTCCCACTAAGTTTGTTTTTCCCCGTGTTCTGCTTGAAAGGAAGTACCTGCCTCCTTCAAACTGTTAAAACAAACGCTTCAACTTGTACAATTTTGAATCTGTATTTTTGAATATGGATCTTAAGTTGGCGTGACGTTGAAGCAGCGACCCTGCTGTAGTTCGTTTATAGCATAAATTTAGCATTTTGCTTCTGGCGACTAGATTTATGATTCGAAAATGATAAAAGTGGATATTATCCGGCTGAACAAAACGTGATCCGTCTCTTAAATGTGTGTCAACCAAAGACCTTATTTCGAGGTATTTTCCAAAATCCTATGGAGAAATTGCATTGCTTTTTTGTCGAAGGAACCGGAAGGAGTTTACTTCCGGGTTTTAGGACGCGTCACTGTGGCACTCTATTGTAGACTACTGTAAATCAGTTAGAACCATCACTATCTCAGTGTAATGGCACATTACACTCAGGAAATATAAAATGGAGGAAAGACATTTTGCTGACGTATGCGTCAGTTTTTTCAACTGATACAGATAGTTCTCGCTATATGGAAGGAACACCAAGAATTCTTTCATACGTATGCCCTGTGTAGTGCACATTATACAGAGGGTGATCACAGCGGCTCTGACAGCAGCTTTGAGAATGACTTGTCTAAGTATTGAAAAATAGTTAGACTTATTTTTTGTACCATTTTGTCATGAAGTTATTTTTAGCAACACCACATGTGTATTTGTTTATCTTCCAAATGCATTTATCGTCTGTTTACTCAGAGTGTGCTCCGGTCCCTTTCTTCCCTTGAACGCTACTCACTCTCCCTGACTTGGACTTCAACAAGGTCATTTTGTGATTGCACAGTGTTTTGTTTCCGCACACCTCCTGTTGGAGTTATCACACAGGATGTCTTAGATGACTTTGATGCAAGTCTCTTTCTCCTCACAGACGCCCTGCACTTCTGCGTGTGCACCAACTGGAGGAGTTAAAGGAGGGCGGAGAGCGACTCCACGGGGACGGAGCTGCAGAACACAAGCTGATTAGGAGGCCGTGCAGCTGTGAGCGCAGATAGAGCAACCTCCAGCTCCTGGCAGAGGAACAAATTATATCTTCAGTCTTTCTTTCCTCGCCGCCTCCATCCCCCTAATGCCCTCACTCTGTCAGCACGTGTTCTCAGGACATATTGACATATTTTCCTCTCCTTATCGCCTCCTTTCCTTCGTCTTAACCTTCTCCGTGGTCGGGCTTCCTCAGTGTTCAAGCAAAGTGCAACCAGCCTCTTCACACATGTCCGAAATAAAACACTATCTCTGTCCCTCCTGCTGGCCTACCTAGCTAACCTTCTCTCTTTAGACCTGCGGTCTTCAAGTCGGCTCCTGGCTATTTAACCCTCGCCGTCCTCTCACTTTGTCCATCCCTCTTCTCTGACGCCACCTCATCTTCTCACTGCCTTTGCTCTGATTTGTGCAAATAATAAGATGCTGGTCTGTGTTGCTAAACAAATTGAGCAGCTCAAACTTATGCATAATGAGCATATGAGTCATAATGAGTCATATTTTCACGCAGATGCTTACACTGAAACTGCTTCTTTAGGCACATGCCGTAGAAGCCTCACATCTTTGGAGAGCTTTGGAGATGCATTAATTCAAACATGGATGGTCAGTAGGTTGTCTTTGTGTCTGACAAGGACACATTTTTAGAAATTCATAGATAGTTGCTTGGCAACTGCATTGGTTTGTTCACAATTTGAAGCCCTTTTCGCCATTAACAGAACTCGAAACATTACTAGGCTTTTTGTATCGGTTTTCCCCTCAATTGAGTGTCAGCTGACCTCTTATGGAGAGACAGAGGTAAATATAGTAAACAAATAATGTATTCAACTAATGGATATCATTATGTTCATTAATTACATTTAAACTATTATTTTTATTGAAATTATTATTTGTGTAACAATTTGGTTAAATTGTATGTTGAAATATGCAAATTAGCCTTAGGAAAGGTCTAATTTGCAAATGTACATTTGATGAGACAAAGGTTTCAAATTCTTGTTTCGTTTTGATGACAGTTAGTCAAAGGTTTTTACAGAAGGAACTATATTTGAATCACTTCATAAATGAGAAAATATTATGAACAGACACAAAAAAAATGTTTTAGCTATGTTTTTAGGATTAAATGTGATATAAATCAGACAATTAAATATATTAACAATTGCACAATAAAAAAACCTCTTATAATATAAATAGGAATATAACTGGAATGTGTGATGCATGTAAGTGGAGTATTCTGGCTCAGAGGATGAGAACAAAAAGCCTTCTACAGTTTTCAGGGCAATAGGCTGAGACAAATGTACTTCTGCATATCACCATGCTAACTTCCCCAGTTGATTGCTTACATTAAGAAACATATTTGCTGTTTGACATGAGGTCTAGAAGTAGGCAAATTAGGCATTATCCAATACTATGTGGTGCAATCTCCTGCCTTAAAGGAAAAGTTCATGTGTTCTGAAAAATAAATTACTTATTCTCAAAAAGAAAGTTAAAGGGGCCCTTTATTTTCAAATGTGTTGTTTGTTCACAGCATGTTTACATGCTGTCCAGCTCCAATTGATACGTCTCAGGAAGGGGGGAGTGTGGGTGAGTGAGACTCCCTCTACAGAGAACTTTGGGATGTTAGCCTTTGCAGACCATTTACATACACAACAACACATTTAACACACTATAGGAAAGGGAGGACCCATAAAAGCATAATTGGTTCTTTTTAAAAGTTGTATTTGTATCCCTAATTTGAACAACTCCTTTAACACAGTCAGCTTTAGTTGAGTCTGGAGTACCAACCTGAAGCAGTTGTTGTGGAACTTGTTATAGGAAGCCATGGTAATGAGACCGCCCCATGCACAGCCCAGAGAGTAGAAGATCTGTGACGCCGCATCTCCCCACACCTACACAGCCAAAAACACAGTCAGAAGCAACACGAAAAAGTTACATCAAATCCATTCCTATCTGCAATTTCCTCTTCCCTGTCTGTTGATGTGTTTGAGTCCATACCTTTGCATCAAGGACCTTATGCCACTGTGGAGTCAGGTAGTACTTGATGCCGTTGACGGCTCCCTCCAAGGTGATGCCACGGATGAACAGGATGGTTAAAACAACGTAGGGGAATGTGGCTGTGAAGTACACCACCTTCACAAACACAAAAGTACAATTATTTATTAATAACAAACGAAATATCATCATTTCTTCATCACTAAAATGTTGCAGCTGGTAAAGTTGGAACTCATTGCAATTTCTTTATTTACTGCGAGGTAGTTAAAGCTTTAGTTAGAGATTATCATTTAAATGAATATGTTGTATCAATATTATGAATCTGCAAAGCTGTCAGATAAAAAGCAGATTTCTCGAGTAGAAGCTTATAGGAGCATGAAGGACCTCATATTTGTGCTCAACTTTGGTACTTGAGTAAATACACTTAGTTGCTTTCCACAACCGACTGCCTTAAGCTTTAATGTCAATGAGTGTGTGTGTGTGTGACGTGTGAGTGTGTGAGAGAGAGAGAGACAGTGAGGCTGACCTTTCCAGAGGATTTGACGCCCCTGATGAGACAGAGAAAGACGACAAACCAGGACAACGCCAGACAGCCGAGAATAGGGAGACGAACCTCTCCAAAGTTCCCAATACCATCAGAGATGTTCAACACATAGTGCCTGAGAAAGAGAGAGAGGGAGAGAGGGAAGGAACGTTTCAGTTCATCTGGTGTCCGGTTGACAATATTTACACCATTTGGGTTGTCTCATTCCTATGAAAGTTGCCCAGTGACGCATGAAGCCACAATGGCCTGACTCTCGAGAACAATAATGCCAAGATCCCTGGTGTCTTGGGCACACAGAGCATGCACACTTGCAGCCTGTTCCCAATGTTAGTCATTGGAATAAAGTATTTTGGGGCCCAGTGACGTAACTCGACTGACACAGAGGTTGTAATATTACCATTCGGCAACTACGAACCATTGCCTCAATGCCAGGCTTACTTCATAGGGACTTGACTGACTCCACCCAGGGGCGGCGGGTATTGTACCCAAATATTTTTGTCACTGCATCCTGGTAAAATAAAAATAAAATGTATACTGTTTGTGTCTTTGACATTAGCGCTGCTATGCAGCCACCTGTGCTCTGTACGAAGCCAGTTCAACATACCCTGGATATGTTTGAGTTATCTTAACAAACGTGCTCTCGCTAAGCGGTCCTACGACGCTGGTTATCAACTCGGTAAATCAAGCCAGGGTTTCTCTCTCCAGCTGAGAGCGCATTCACATGAAAGGGGCGGGGTTAGCTACATTTGACAATCATTTGGTGCTTGAAACGAGCCGGATTCCGGAGCTAAGAGGCTGTAGTTTGTGCATCTGTCTGTGTTTTAGTTTGACTGTTTCTGTTTGCTGGTTTTATTCTGAAAAGTGTTCCCGTCGTACTTCATTATTAATGAAAAGTAAACTAATATTAGACAAATATGAACTTTAAACATCCATGATTTAAACATATAATCCAGGATACAAGCGACATAGTTGCACCTGCAAGGTGAATACAGAACAACTGGTTAAAAAATAAGTGTGTTTGAAAGCATACAACAGTTTTATGATAGCACTGCCCCATCTAAGACACGAGTGGATCTGACTTTAATTACATTTGAGTTGAGTGTTTCGTAACACTTAAGTAACAACACAAGTAAGTCACATTAAGTAACTTAATGTTTGCTTAAAATAATAGGTCTACATATACAGTATGTGACAATGTAGGTGATGCACGGCCAGATACGGCTCGAGAAGCTGGCTCAGATAAGGAAATATGATATATTATATGATCGATGTACTGATTGATGACGAGATATGAATCATAAGTGCGACACGTCGGCGTCTTCTCTGCATACGGCAGTTTTAAACTGTATTTCCTTTATCCTGTAATATGACTTGATAGATTTAAACTCCGCACACTGAGCTCTGATTGGTCAGCAGGCGGTGCTTTCACTGAGAGTTGATCTCTTTTCTATAGACGCCGGAGGCGGGCAGCGTCAGGTAAAAAAAAGTGATTTAGCCTTCCCAAACCTGAGCCTCACGCGCCGCCTATGACTCCACCCCTTTTAATCTTCAGCTGCACTACTGTTCATAAACTTAAATAGCAGGTGCACTTTGAAAGCCCTTCATTGACTGTGTATACATATCCTATCAATGATACTGATATTAAAATGGAGTTGTCCAATATACTGAACAAAGGTACATCTCCTTCATGTCCCACACTGCTCAGAAGCTGCTACATTTCAACTTAAATCTAGTAGAAATATTTAAATGCTTGCCAGTAAAACAAGCCCTATTTTCGGCAAGCTTATAGGAGCTAAGGATTACTCACTTGATTACCTTTGAAAAATTCAAAAAACTAAAAGGAGAATTGCATTGTTTTAGCAGCCGCTGAACCTACATAAATACGAGCTCCTGTGCTCTTTGCACAAATTAAAATGCAGATAATATGCATATATTTGGCGCAAAATGTGCCTTTTTCTATGCAAATGAGCCTCATTGAAAATACTGTCAAGAGTCTAGAGGTAACTGCCTCACATTATTATAAAGAGGCTCCTCTTCATTTTTTTATATGGGATGCATTGATTGGATGCAATGACACTTCATTACATAATAATATTAAAGCACCTCTATATGTCAGATTCAACACTTCATGAGGGAAAAAAGGTGAAATACATAAATGATAAACAATTAACCATTTTTTTCCTTGTATCCCTATCCTTTCCCCCTACTCTTTCATCCTCCTGTCATTGTGGGGATTTGGATGGACGTAAAAAACCCTGCAAACCTCTCCGATGGGTTAGGGATGTGATAACATTTGCGCAATAACTTTTGAGAATCAGCGCCTGAGAAAAGGTCAATGATGTGCAGATCATGGTGCTATTATCAAGCACCCTATCGGTATCGTGCCGATCCTTGCTTTACTATCTATGATGCGGATACTCCTTTACCATATTCCTGCACCTTGGAGTTTGACGAATATAATCAGAAATGGTAATGCTGAAGGACTTTGGTTTTTACTTGTCGTATTACTGATGTATCAGAGACTTACTTCCAGTATTCCTCACTGGGGCTGGTCCTCTTGGTGCGGTTGACTACCTCGGTCACCCCTTCCACCAGGCTGGTGCTAACGTTAGCCAGTCTGGTGGTGAAGTTGCTGCTAAACACGCCACTGCAGTCCGGTGTGTTCCAGGGATTGTTACAGTAGGTCCATGGCAACAAGTGTGTCATTGACTGGAAAAAGTAGTAGAAGGATATACAAATGACCACGTTGTAATAGATCCCAATGTAGGTGGAAACCACCATCATGCCATAGCCCACACCTGAAGGGTAAAGAAGACACAATGGGAACACGTTAGAATGAAAATGTGAAGCAAATGCAAAGGCTGCATCCTTAGGAAGCAAATAAATAAATGTTATTTGTAAAATGAAATCAAACAACTTTAGTGAAACTTTGTACGACTTCATATTGTATTGAAGTGTCTCAAAATGTCTAACTGGTTAATCCTCACTTTCCTGCTATAACACATAATGTGTTTGTAGGGGCATCCACAAACTATGGGTGTTTCTCAATCTCGAGTAAAGCTGCTCCAGAGCCACTATTTCAAGCATACTACGTCATCGAGTGCCGCCGAAGTACT